ATGGCCGTTGCTCTGTTGACACCTGTTGAGTTCCACTTCCTCAGATTCAGGCAGCAGCTAGCTCATTTGATGCCCCTGTCAAGGGGCATCCCCGGGCACGCTTCTTGCAGTGCACTTGCTGTCTGGGTACCTGCAGGGCCACTGCAGATATAGGCACTGCCAGAGCTGCAGGAACCCTTGGGGTCCCTTTGGCAGTGTGGTGAGGATGAGGCTGGTCAGTGCAGATGGCGAGGGTGCACTTGGCGTGGAAGGCCTCATCCTTGACTGACTGTTCATACTGCGTTTATCTGTAACATGTCTTTTTTCAGTCATCTCAGTTAAGTGGCGGTGTAGTGTAAAATGAATATTAATTGACTAAAATTAAAAGAGAAACATTAAATTGCATTTCTGGATTTCTGTACTTTGATGGAATAACTCATGCTAAAGGCCAGTTAGTGATTCTTCAAAAACATTTTTTTAAATATTTTTTTTTTCAGTTAGTGATTCTTGTACAAGCTACAAGGTGTACCATGGGATTCAGATTTTCGGTTTGCCGGTAACTACTTTGTTCTCATGTTCAGTAGGGGATGTTGATACTCAAATGGTGCTTTTGGGAGCGATTAAATGAGAAAGTACTTCACCATGTTAGTTACTATTATTGTTACTCATAAACATCTGGAAAATGAGCATGAAGAAAGTAATATTTCACTAATGAAGAGGTGTCTGAAAGCATACTGAAAGGTTATTTCTTTTTTCCCCTTTTTCCTTGACTTAAATCGCAATTTCCTCATTCCTGCTTCCTTCTGCCCCGGCATCTCCTGCAGTCTGCTTTTTGTCTTTAGGGAGATATACGTTTTGTAGACAGTTCTTATCAGCGAAATAATTACTTTGGGAAGCAGTTTTCTCCACTGTGAAGACATTTGTTCTTTTAGGTACTACACTTGGTGGTGTGCAGGGGCCCAGAATTACCCCCAGGGGTGCTTGCGGAAGAACCACAGTAGGATTCAGGGCCAGGGATGAACTCAGGGCCTCATACGTGCTAGATAGGAGCTCTGTCTCTTGTTCCTTATTAAGGCGCGCATGCGTGTGTGTGTGTGTGTGTGTGTGTGTGTGTGTGTGTGTGTGTGCGTGCGTGCGTGCGTACGTGTTTTGGTGGGGCAGTGGCAGCCCACACCTGGCAGTGCTTAGGGCTTATTCCTGGCTCTGTGCTTAGGAATCACTCCTGGTGGGCCTTGGGGACCATTGCTGTACCAGGGATTGAACTGGATTTTCACATGCAGGCCTTGCTCACTGAATTCTCTCTCCAGCCCCATCAAGGCATTCTTAGTAGTTAGTTTTGGAAAAATAGTCTTTAATGTACCAATTAAGTTATTATCAAAATTACAAAAAAGTGATTTTTATTTATTTCTAATCCTAGGGATAGAAAACTATTTTTACGGAGGTACTGACATCTACAATACTCATGGTGTGTGGGCCCTGCTCATGACTCAGTGAATATGCTCCTGACAGTTTTCACTGACTACCTACCCTTCTGGGCATTGAATTGGGGTCTGTTGCATGTAAGACAAGTACTTTAACCCTTGTACTATCTCTCTGGCCTCATCCAAAGTTATTTTTAAGGGGGAAAATCGAAGATAAAGTCTCATTTTAGTATCCACAAATGCCTATTGAATAAAGCCTTTCACTAATCTCAAAGGAATATTATGTTGCCATCTAGAAACTGTTCTTTTGGAGCTCTGACAGTTGTTACATTTAACTCCTGGTTGTTCTAATGCATCCTTTGTTTTTACCAAGCTGGTACTAGAGATACACCTCCCCCTTTAACCTCTTCATGGATCATTCACAAGAAAACTGTACATTTGATCCTTTGCTTTGCTAATATGTGTATTTCTGAAACATTTTTCAGGTATTATAAAATTTTTAAGCTATTTCTTTGTTTTTGGGTGACACCCCGTGGTTCTCAGGTCTTACTACTGGCTCTAAACTCCTTAGGGCATGGGGAACCATATGTGGTGTTAAGGATTGAACCCGGGTTGGCTGCAGGAAAAGCAAGCACCCTACCCACTGTACTATCACTCTTGCCCATTAAGCTGTCTCTTAATTGTGACTAATAAATACGGATTTGTGATGCAGTGCTGACATTATGATTTCCATGCTCAAGTACGCAGTAAAATGATGGATGTTCAGAAACAAATTGACTTCTATATAAATTGCTCGTTCATGCATCATTCCTTTAAAACGTCCATTTTGTGCAGTGATGGAACCTATACTGTTATTTCTGTTTTGTCGCTGAAGTTTACATGAAAATAATTATGATGTCATTGTTTTAATTGCATGTGGCCGACCTGGGTTCAATTCCTCTGCCCCTCTAGGAGAGCCTGGCAAGCTACCGAGAGTATCCTGCCCGCACGGCAGAGCCTGGCAAGCTCCCCTTGGCATATTTGATACACTAAAAACAGTAACAACAAGTCTCACAGTGGAGATGTTACTGGTGCCCACTTGAGAACATCGATGAACAATGGGAGGACAGTGCTACAGTGCTATTTTAATTAATCCCCTTTCATTATTTTCCATTAATTTGAAGTTAATATGTAGAAATTGATGAAATAGTTGGTAAATCAAACTTGGGGTTGGGGTTAGGGCCACACCTGTCAGTGCTCAGGGATTATTCCTGGCTCTGCACTCAAGGGTCACTTATTTTATTTATTTGAAGTAAAAAAAACAAACTTTATTTGGAGACATTTTTTTCTCCCAATTTTATTTTATTTTATCAAGTAATTCACAATAATTTATTGCATTCAATATACCAGCACCAGTCCCATCACCATTATTTGGAATTTTCCCACCACCACCCAGGCCTGTCCCAAAAGCAAGTCCTAAATAATTAATTTTGTATGGCTTGTTATGAATAATGCATTAAAAATGATCCAAGAAAGTTTCCTTAAAGGAAAATGTGTGGACTGTTGTATCACATCCTAGTGTCATAAGCCCTGTATAAGAGATTACTAACATGTTATTACATGTTGAACCTTGTGTGCTAATATTTATTTATTTTTGGATTGATGTTGGTTGCCTTCTATGTTAACCCCATCAGATGTGGTGTGCTACTCTTGGTACATCTGTGGAGTAGAGTATGGAAATCTCGCTCGGCTATGTGCTCCAGGGATTCTAAAATTTTAAATAGGTTGATACAACTGGAGATGACTTTGGGATTCTGAAGCATCTCTGCAGTTTGTGGCTATCTTGTGAGATTTGTTTGTGAGTCTCTGGATCATGGCCGCTGATGAGCTTATATGGTGCCTGAGGTGGTTTGTGGCCGTGGCCACCAGGCTCCAGGGAAGACCCAGAAATGGGGGGAGGTCACGAGAGCCTAGAGATTTTGGTCAAAGAAGCTGCATACCTGAGTTTTTCTGCAGATTCATTCTCTTGCATGAGGGGCTCGTCCTGAGCCTGTGGAGATGGCGGTGATTAGGTTCTGGAGGTTTTCAGCTGAGGGGGATCTCTTGGGGCTCTGGGGAGCCACGGAAATGAGGTTCAGCCTGGTGCGGTATCTGGAGACATCTCTCCAACTTGTGGCTCTCGTGCGAGATTTATTTGTGAGTCTTTGGAGGCTTTTGGAGGAAAGGGAGAGAGTAATCTCAAGAGAGAACCCTGGCTTCCCCAAAGAACCCCAGTGCAGTGTCAAGGAGGAAAGCGGGCAGTAAATGTGCTAGGCCACAGGGACACAAGCAGCACCTGGACTGGGCAGCATATGCTGTGCATGAAGGTTCCCTCTTATTGGGACCTGGGGGATGTGGGGATTGAACCCAGCTTGGCCATGTGCAAGGCAAATGCTTAACCCCCTATGGTATCTTTCTGTGCCTTTTGTAAATTGAAATTTTTATCCTTCAAAAGTAAGCTAGTCGAAAAAGAAAGATGGCGGCCGCACGGGAGCCTTGTGGACAGCAGGTTTGAGCCGGGGGTGGGGGGCGGCAGGGGCCTCATGGGAAGGGGGGCGTTCTGGGCCGTCCTTCACGCCCAACCGAGGTCACCAGCTGCCCCCCACGAGCGGCTCTCTGGCACGGCCACGACTCCAGAGCACAGAAACCAATCTCTTAACTATCTAACTTTTAATAGAAATACTTCCAGGGTTAATAAGTAAAACAGCAGAAATCCAAAACCAACATTTAATTCTTGAACCCAGCTGTAGAAAGCAAATCATTTCACAACGCTGTTTCAGCATATCTGATTGGGGGGGGGGTCGTAAACTCTAAACAGTAATTGTGCATCTTCTATCGAAACAATGTATCTAGTCAAAGTAGATAAGAGTATTAACTAGAACTCATCTGCCTCACAGGAATTGGGAGGGGTGGGAGGTGGGGTTCTATTGGGGTTCACGGTTAAAAATAAGTATTGGTAAAGGGAAATGTGTGTGATACTTACATGACTGAGACCTAAACCCGAAAGCTCTGTAACTTTTCCCACAGTGATTCAATAAAGAAATAAATTATAAAAAAAAAAAAGTAAGCTAGTCACTTCTCAAAGTTTTAAGTGTTAGAAGAACTTTATGGGGACTGGATGTATCATCCAGCCAGCTGTCAACCTTAGTTAGGTTCCTAGCACAACGTTTCGTTCTCTGAGCACCACTTGGAAGTGACCCCTGAACAGAGCTACTAGTGGATCAGCCCCCAAGTCTCTTTGAATAAGCCTTGTTGGTTTATTGAGATTTATATTATTCTTTTGTTCAGGAAAGCATGTTACTAACTTTAATTATTGCAAGTAAGAGTGAGCTAAAGGTTCTTAAAAAGGAATTATATTTGAATGCTTTTGAATTATTTCTGCTTTTTCCCTATCAGGGAAAAAAATTGAAAGTTCACTATGTACTCAAAGAATCTGAATTTTCACCAAAATTTTACAGGATCAAATTTGCTAGATAGAAAAATTCAAACAGTTATTTGCCAGAGTTAAGATTGTGTAGTTGTTTAAAAGTGATAATCATATGTAGTGTGGTAATGTGATTGTTTTTTGAAATTCATTTTCAGATCATAGCAACGGATCATTTAACTTGAAAGCTCTATCAGGAAGCTCTGGATATAAGTTTGGTGTTCTTGCTAAGATTGTGAATTACATGAAAGTAAGTACTTTTTTAATTATCAAAAACATTCAGTTTTTGGATAAAAGAGGATTGAAATTTTTTTTTTTTTTTAGTAAATTTGTATGTATGTCAAACATTATATTTTTATTTTGTGCAGTTCATTGTATGTTTATTTCACCTTAGTAACACTACTACTAAGTCTCAAAATGGAGACGTTACTGGGCCCGCACGAGCGAATCGATGAACTATGGGAGGACAGTGTTAGTTTTTGTGTTTTCACCTTAGTAAAACTGAAACTGTTGGGTGCTTCAAGCATTTTATGCCAGAAGCATTGTAGTAGGTAGATATCATCTTGTCACTGATACAGCCGTCTAGTCTCTTAGTCACTATTAGTTGGTTAAATCACTGGGATGACACAAATGATTTACAGGATATTAACTTCCATTGACACGAGAAGTGAAAACTATACAGTGAAAGCAGATGGTACCATGTTCATGGCTTTTCTGCATCTTATTTTTTAAATTTTTTTTTTTTGATTTGGGCGCCACACTTGACCATTCTCAGGGGTTGCTCCTCGCTTTGCACTCAGGAATTGCTCCTGATAGTGCTCGGGGACCATGTGAGGTGCTGTGGATAGAACCCAGGTAGGTTGCGTGCAAGGCAAATGCCCTACCGGCTGTACTATCGCTCTGGCCCCTTTTCTGTATTTTATTTTATTTTTAAGAAGTTTTATTGGATCACTGTGCGATACAGTTACAAACTTGCATGGTTACGGTTTAGTCACACATTGCTCGAGCACCCATCCCTCCACCAGTGCACGTTTTCCACTACCATTGTTCCCAGTGTCCCACCCGCCACCCCCCACCCCACCCCCTTTTCTATATTTTAGAGGAGAAAACTGAGCAGATAGTAAGGATCTTAGAAGAACATCAGCTTGCAAAATAATTAGAATTTAATGTTTGATGGAAGACTGTATTTTTTCAAGGTGAATTTTGATGATAGGACATTTTTGAAGTGAAATTTTAACTTATAGCTAAGAAGACTAAGTGATTTCCAATATGCCTCATTCTTCTGATGTCTTTTTTTTTTTAAGTTTTTTGCTTTTTTGGGTCACACTCGGCGATGCACAGGGGATACTCCTGGCTCTGCACTCAGGAATTACTCCTGGCGGTGCTTGGGGGACCATATGGGATGTTGGGGATCGAACCTGGGTTGGCTGCTTGCAAGGCAGATGCCCTACCCACTGTGCTGTCGCTCCAGCCCCTACTTTGTGCTCTTATTTTTGTTTTTATTCATGGTTCTGTGTTGGCGGGCCGCTTTTGGTGGTATTCAGTGGACCATGATGGTGCAAGGATCATAGCCAGGCCTCCTGTGTGCCAAGCGTGTGTTCAGTCCTGAGCTGTCTCCCTGACACCTCTGCCATAATTTCACACCTATTGAGCTACTAGCTTTATCTTTTAGAAGAGGTAGCACATTTGTTATTATTTAGATTTCAGTTATCTTTTGAGAAAAGACAGAGTATTTGTTGTTGTTTAAAATATAAATCACATTTTTATGCTCAGTATTTTATAATTTAAGGTTTGGAGTGTATGACTTAAAACTCTATGAATGTGAATTTTGATTTTATTAGAAATCTGTATTTAATTTCCCATTGTCAGTATCATCTTCATTATATTTTGCACCATTTATTCTATCCATTTATTCCTCACATGGTAAACCATGAGTGTCGGGTAGGAGAGACGATACAGCTTGTGAGCTTGGCTTCACTCCCCAACTCTGCATATGGTCAATGCCTGAGCATTGCCAGGAATGATCCCTGAGCACAGAGCTAGGAGTAAGTCCTGAACAACATCAAGTATGGCCTTCCAAAACCCCCAAGAGTAAAGAAAGGCAACTATATGATGATATTAGTAAGAACAAATCAAAACCATGTGCCTTTAGTTTGTATCTATAGAGATGAAGACCTACACTTAAGTTCTGTTTTCCAAAAAAAAAAAAAAAAGTTCTGTTTTCCTATTGCTATGCATTCTTCACTGATTTATTTATAACATCTAGGGTGGTGATTTTTTTTTTTTTTTGGTCACACCCGGCAATGCACAGGGGTTACTCCTGGCTCTGCGCTCAGGAATTACCCCTGGCGGTGCTCAGGGGACCATATGGGATGCTGGGAATCGAACCCAGGTTGGCCGCGTGCAAGGCAAACGCCCTACCCGCTGTGCTATTGCTCCAGCCCCGGGGGTGGTGATTTTTTAATTTTCACTCATTTCTCTTGAATTTTAAAAATTTTTAAAAAATTTTGTATTTTTTTGCACATATTTTGATAACTTCCCTTTTCAGCAAAAGCTTGGCGCTTGAAAGAATTTCTGTAATGTTAAAATATATTAAACATAACTTTTCAGTGTATCTAAAGAAATCAAATGTTATTAATTAAAAAATACAAATGCAGACATCAGTGTTTGGGAGAAAGTGTTTTGTGTATGTTATCAGACCCCAGCTGGTGGTTCTCAAGGTTTACTTCTTTTGCTTTGTGCCCAGGGGTCACTCCTGACAATGACTGGAATATATAATGCCAGGGATCAAATTGGGATTCAATTGGGATGGAGGGCAGGCACTGAAACGCCTGTACTCTCTGGTCCTTGTGTTAGAAATTTTAATTATTTTCTTTTTAATAGGTATGTTTGTCCTGAATCCCACTTAATTTTATTCTAATGCCATGTGTTTATATATTTGAATGTCTTGAATTGAGCAGACCTATTTCTTTGCCATAACAATAGGAATAGAGATTATATTATGGATGTAGCATGGCAGTAAAGTACTTGTTTTGCATGTATGAGACCCTGGGTTTAATCCCCCAGAACTGTAGAAAAGGAAGAAATTAGAAATTTTTTCTTATGATTATAGGCCTCTAAAGATGCTAAATATTTCTGGTTTTAGTTGCTATTACAATTTTTTGATATTTTTTGTTTGTTTGTTTCTGGGCTATTCACAGCAGTGCTCAGGGGTTACTCTGGCTCTACATTCAGAAATCACTCCTGGCAGCGCTCCTGGGACCATATGGGATGCCAGGGATCAAACCTGGGTTGGCTGTGTGCAAGAAAATGCCTTTTTTAATGTATTAATGTTCTGACCCCTGTTGTCATTGCAGTTATTATCAGTACACAGTTGGTTAGCATACACAATTTTTGATTAAGTTTTTTGTAATGGCTATTTAACAGCAAACCTTTCTTTCCATTAGGGGCTAGGGATTGAAACCAGGGCCTTACATATGTGAGCTATATGCCCAATACACAGAAGTTCATTAAATTAAAAAAATTATTTTGAATTCTGCCTTACTCTACTCCTGCTTTTCCTACTGAGTTTGATCCTTAGTATTGCATGGTTCCTGAGTCTCCAACACCACCCGGGAGGCCCACCCTCCAAAGAAAAGAATTTTAAGGCTCTTTTTAGAAGGGTTTTAGCCTTAAAATAGCTATTTCTTTTTATAGAAATGGTTAAAGTAAAGCACATCTTATTGGTTAAATGAGTAAGTTTAAATGACTCCATAATAAATTTTTTTGTGAGTATATTTCAGTTACATGAAACATGGTTTTTTTTTTCTTTTTTTTTTTTCCTTTTTTGGGTCACACCCGGTGATGCACAGGGGTTACTCCTGGCTCTGCATTCAGGAGTTACTCCTGGTGGTGCTGGGGGACCATATGGGATGCTGGGAATTGAACCTGGGTCGGCTGCGTGCAAGGCATACGCCCTGCCCGCTGTGCTATCGCTCCAGCCCCACGTGAAACATGTTTAATAGAATTTGTTAGTTTGGTTTAGTGAAAGCTTATTATTCTTAAAGTGTCATTCCTTGACCAATAGTATCAACTTTACTTGGGGATTAGTTAGAAGTATAATTTTTTAGCCTCCTTTGGCATCAGCTCTTTTACTTCAGTCTTTGTGTGTTTGCTTTTGGGCTACTCCCAGTTCAGTATCGAGTCATTCCTAGTGGTGCTGAGGGATGGAACCTGGGCCTCCTGCCTGGAATACATGTATGTGCTCAGCCCATTGGGCTCTCTGGCCTCGTCTACTTCTGTTGTGTCTGGCACTAGGGATGCATTTCCACAGTCTGTATTTTAACCAACCCTGTAGGTGATTCTGAAGCATGTTAAAGCTTGAGAACCCCAGCCTAGCTTCTTTCTGAATAATTCTGATAATTATATTTGAATTTAGAAATTCTAAAGTCCAGAGAAATCAAATAACTGTACTAGTTATGGTAGATAGTTTAAGAATTTAAATTATAGTATTAAATAGTCAAGTTTAACTACCATAAAATTTTTGGGCCACACCTAGAAGTGTTCAGCGTTTACTTCTAGCTTGCACTTAAGGATCACTCCTGGAGAGACTCAGGGAACCATATGGGGTGCCGGGATCTGGCTCTGTGCAAGGCAAGCGCCCTGCCTGCTGAACTGTTGCTCAGGTCCTCCTCATAATTCCTAAGACTATGTGAACTGGGGCCAGAGAGATAAGTATAAAGGTTAGGGCACTTGTCTTGCACATGGCCAACCCAGGTTTGATCCCCAGCATTTTATATGATTTGCCAAGCACTGCTAGGAGTGATTTCTGAGTGCAGAGCCAAGGAGTAATTCCTGAATATTGGTGTGGCCCAAACACGCACAACACACACATACAAGAAAAAAGAAAAAGGAAGATACATGAACAAAAGGAATCTGTTCATGCATAAGAACAAGTAAATGTAGTGATGAAGGTAGTGTATTATTCTAGAAATGTGAGTGGTTAATATTTCGAAATCAATATAAGTCATTAATGTGATAAAAAAAGATCATAGAATTGGGTCATTGGTGGAGGAATGCTGACTGCTGGTGAGTTTTTTTTAATTTTAATTGGTCAGGGGCAGGTTTTTTTTTTTTTTAATATGGGTCACATCTTGTGCTCAGGGCACTATGTATGGTGCTGGGGATTCAGCTGGGGTGAACAAGTGCCTTACCCTTTAATCTCTTTAGCCCTCGTGGTGGGTTTGGAGATGGAACACTGAATGTCTAGAA